TTCCACACAATATGTTAAAATTGACAACCACGACAGTCTTCTCTGATTGCAAATCATTTAATCTGTTCCCTGTTCTATTTTTCCAACATGTGCCTTCCTGAGACTTTCCCAAAGCCTGCGGAGCAATATGCCAATACGCCTGACTGCTTGGCGTCTTGACGGTGTACTTCTGCATGACGAAACAATCCATCTCAAGCTGCTCCCGACTACAGTGCTATGATAGACTACATCGCGTGTCCAGTATATGCAAGCACATGGCTGACAAAATATGCTACATTGCAATATCCTTATGAACTACAAATAAACACGTGATTGACACCGTACTTCTAAAGAGTCTGACTGTTAAATGTTAGATGACGCCTTGAAAATAGTTTGGAGTTTCTCATCCTAACCCTGGCATCCCACGACCGCGGTTTCGTCCTGGTTTGGACTCATCAGGTGGAGAGGGCCTGAGTTGGGGTGGCGATCGGAGCCTAGTGGCTCATGGCTGATGCCATTAACACTATGCCACTGAGATCGGTGAGCAACGCTTGGTACAGCGGAAATGAATTCAAAGTTGGACTTGGAGAACCCGCTGTGTAGTTGGGTTGCTATATACAACCTCGATTGAGACCTCGGTCATTCCGGTCACAAGGATCGAATGTGAATGGAAATAGTCTGGTGTTGCTCATCCCAACCCTGGCATCAAACGACCGCGGTTTCGTCCTGGTTTGGACTCATCAGGTGGAGATAACCTGAGTTGGGGTAGAAATCAGATCCTCGTGGTTCATAGCTGATACCATTAACACTATGCCAATAGAGGTTGTTGGTAGCAACCCAACTACACAGCGGGTTCTCCAAGTCCAACGTTAAATGACGCGTTCTCCACGCGTGCTTTTCTCCATTTAGCTGAATAGCAACAGCTTTGGAAACCCTTGTACAAATGGATCGGGCCAAGAGATTGAGATGTGTCTCGCACAGTCCAGAAATAAAAACAGTGATTTATGCCAAAGTAGTAACTGCAATACAAAGATGTAAGAATAAACTGATAATTATTTTGCATGACCCGGAATTCGTCCCAACTATCTCACTGGGACGGTGAGGCGCACAAAGTGGTCACTCGCACTGGCTGAAAGTATGATTTTATCAACATTCATAAAGGCCGGCGGTGATGAGGATGAGTAATAATATTTAACATGTTACGCCACTACTTTTCGTGTTTTTTGCCTCCGCGAGTGACCAAAAACGAACAGATGGGACGTCTTGCCGTCTATCTTTGCGAACAGGGAAAAATCGCATCAGCAGTACGCCGGTACGTAGTACCGACGCTTTGTTGCCGCACAATCACCACCAGTCGCACGTGAGCTGAGGATACTGGGAGGGACGCCCGGTCCCTAGGCAGGCTCTAATCTGTGCCCTCGTATTACTAGACAGTATTGTGATCTTTAAGGCTACGGGCCGGCGAACAGGTAACCTGGCACCGTATCGGCAACACCGGACATTCAAATCGAACAGCACGTATACATAAGCTAGAACACGAAATATGGGATTAAATACCCCAGAATACATCGATAAGCATTTATTTTAACAAATAATTCGGTATATTTTCAACCTGATGTGTGTAATGCACAGTTCATGTAGTTTCCACCTCGCTTCTCAATCGTTACATAGGCGCCTAGCAACGCGAGTTGGTGTTTACACCTATGGAACATGGTATTGATAACAACGTTGCTGGCGTGGATAGATTCCGAGGGGAAGGGGAGGCTAAAGAAGCGGTCCAGATGCTGGCGAGCATATCGAACAGCCCCGTCGACTAGCATGTTTGATAGTTCTCGGTTGGTTCAAAGGGAGTGTAAGCTACATCTGAGATTGGCCCGGCTTCAATAGGAAAAGGGCTTAGCTGATACTGCCTCGACAAATTCAAAGAAGTTCTTCGCTTACTTTAAACGACACTGTGGTTCAAACTCGCCCATACCACCGATGCTTCGAGGAGATGGGACGCATGAAAGTAGCGGCTATGACAAGGCATGGGTGCTTGGTGAGCAGTACTCAAGCGGCTTTGTACGCGAAACAAATACGCCAAAGAGAACTAGCATCAAGTATCTCTAAAGACTCTTGGCTGGATGAAATTACTGTAACTGAGTCTTAAGTTCTCCGGTTGCTGTGAAGTGAACCCAAGGATTCCGGACCAGATTCTGTTCATCCAAAATTGCCGCACGAATCGGCAGCGGAATTCAGTCGACCTCTGACCTGTGTGTTTCAGAAGTCACTCAATAATTGTGTCTTATCTGAAGAATGGAAGGAGGTTGATGTCTGCCCGATTTTGAAATGCGTTGACAAAGGTTTACCGGCTAATTACAGGCCCGTTAGTTTGACTAGCGTAGTGGTTAAATAACTTGAAAAATTAGGAACAGTTACGGTGGAGAACCATTTGAATAAGTTAAACCTGTTTAGGATCGCGCAACATGGTTTCCGCAAAGGATTTTTGTGCCAAACGAACTTGTTAGCAGCTTCTGAGAGCTGGTCTGAAGCCATAGACAGTGGGCATGCAGTGGACGTGCTGCTCATTGACTTCGCTAAAGCCTTTGATAGTGTATTGCATTCGCGACTCTCACTGAAGTTGAGGCCTTATGGAATATCTGGTTGCGCTCTCCAGTGGGTGTCAGCTTTGTTGGATGGACGGGAACAGCGTATTCGTGTGGGATGCGGACTTTCATTTCGACAAGCTGTCCTTAGCGGCGTTCCGCAAGGCTCTGTCTTAGGCACGCTGTTGTTCGCAGTCTATGTGAATGGCCTGCCGGAGGAGCGTGAGGTATCGTAGCTCATATTTGCTGATGACCTCTGGGACATTGCTGATGTCTCTGCGGCTCTTCAACGGGATCTGGATAAACACCGGGAAGAGTCTGTCTTATTATTACTGTCCATAACCCGGGCAAAATGTTCAGTGCTGCGTATGGGAGCGCCTAATTCCTCCACGTTATGTAATCGATAAGAGTAAACTTCCTCATGTGACTCATTAGGTTGATCTAGGTATCGCCCAGTGTTCTCTACACTTTGGGGACAAACAACAGATGACCGCTAGTAAAGGATTCTGGATGTTGTGGCTTATCCGTCGTTCCTTCGGGACCCGAACAGCTGATATGTCTGTGAAGCTATTCTCCACGTTTGTGGGACCCCACTTACAACATCGCGTCCAGGTCTGTCCACCATGCCTTGTCCGGAACAAAATGACACTAGAATGGGTGTTGCGTGACGGTACTACGTTGGTCGAGGGGTTACGAGGACAAACGTATACCGAACGCCTACTTAATTTGGGGAAGCATACAATGTACTGTCGAAGGATTAGAGGGGACCTAAGTCCAACCTACCGTATTCTGACTGAAAAGGTCGTTGGTCTAGATTTGCCCTGCCAAATTATCTGGTCTCTGCGAGCATGGTATGAAGTGGGACAAACCGCGACCCGATCGAATTAGAGCGGACACGATTATCGCGAGTCATCGAGCGCTGGAACTCGCTTTCAAAAAATGTTGCCAAGGAAGCTACGGTTGAGGGGTTTGAGCGTCGAATATATGCTCTTGGGTGGCAACAATGAACCTTTCCTTTTTCCTAACTAACCCATCTTCGCACTACGATTCTAATTCCATGAATAGTACGCTTTTCTTTCAAATGATTTGCCTTACTAGTTACCTTCGATTTATTTCCCCCTCTTACGTAACACAACTGACATAGCATGGACTGCTAATGCAAGGAACGTGGACGTTAAATTGTTGGACCAGCGTGTGTTTCGGGTGTTTTCGTTTTAGATCCATCAAGAAGTTGGAGCACCCCTATCAACAGCTGGATCAACGACACGATCCAAAAGAGACATTTACGGGACTCAACCTATCGTCTATCTGAACTTGAACTTCACTGGTTCACTCGCCTTTCACAATAAGTTTGCGGCAGTTATTTCGAGTGTCCGACTTGCTTCCACAAAATATTGTCGTGATGGTAGTAACGGTATTGGTGGACAACGAATATGCTCTGCTGTGACGAAAAGGGACCTTGGAGTACTATCCCAATGGGATTTAAAGTGAACGAACAATACGCACAAGGTCTATTGCTCTAGGCTCCGCAAACGTTGGTTACTAAACCGGACGTTCCACGTTTGGTCGGAGAAAACTGCTGTCAGACTGTACGTCACCATGGTGCGACCGTTGTTAGAAGACAATGCACCGGCCTACTATCCCAGCGCAAAGCGTGAGAGGAAACGAGTGGAGTTGTAGCACTTAGGCAATTGCCTAATTGCTACGCTTCGTGGCTTATCCCACCAAGAAAAGCGCCATAAATTGCGATTTCACGCACTGGTATACAGGAGACTAAGAAATAATCTCATTACAACTTCAGGATCCCTTAGCTGGAACACTTTCTTCACAAGGTGCATGTACTGTTTCAGGTTTATGCCAACCACCCGTGGGCATGCTTAGAAACTGAGTATTCAGCGTATGGACCATACTACTCATATTTACGGATTTGCGCGACGCAGGATATGTTTCTGGGACTGGTTGTCCAGTACTACTTTTCTTGCAGATTCGGCAGTTTCAAATAAAGCAATGACATTTTCGAACCTAAGTTTCGATGCAGATGCCTTTTCCAACCTTCTACCGTCATGTGGGTATGTTACGGCTACACAACCAACTTTAAAGGAGCTAGGCACCTAACTTAGTGCTTTTTCGTGATTTTATACTTGTATTTCTTGTGTTACTCAATGGACATAAATGTGTCTTTACGCAAATCAACATTACATTGGTCGTATATGTCTTTACTCTATAATGATGGGGATGACAGATTGTAAGCTAGTTCTCTTAATAGAATAATTGATTCTAGACGGAAATCGCACGCCCGTAGGACGCCCATCCGATCTCCGCGTGGATAAGTTGAGAGATTCACCTGATAAAAACTCGAGAGAATAACCCATAACGTTTGGCAAACATGATAAAAGTACACGTCTACTTGCAGGATTTAAGTAAAGTTTGACGTACCTTAAATCCGTAGCTCAATATTGAGGATAGGATCGGCATAGAATCGGATTTGCTAGCGACAGCCTCTACAGCAAAGAAATAACAAAAAGACTGTTACTATTTGGAACTTCAGATAGCCCGAGATATTCTAACTCATGCTTCAGTCCCAAATCTTCCATTTATAAATCACCAGACCACCAAACACCCGGGTTGTAATATTTCTCCTTTCCGGCGTTCGGAGCTCTTTCGTAGCCAAATAGTATAACGGGTCGTAATAGAACCTTAGAGCTGCAACACAAAATAAATACCTCGTAGATGGCTGGATTCTCAACCACCTAGTTAGAGGCCGATTTAAAGGAAGTATCTAAGGAAGCACGGAAGAAGGAAGGGAAAATGTCCGGAGAGGAAGAAGAGGGTAAGGACAACAAGAAGCAAAACTGATCGACCTCTTACCTATTAACGTGACGCTTCGGACTGGCTACACGGATCACACACAGTAGGTGGATTCAAGTGCAAATGGGACCGAAACAGTACGAAAATCCCGTGAATGTTCCACCTTCGAAAACGTCGTTGATCCAACAGGGAATCTAGTACATTGGTGTGCCAAAGGAGAGCTAAATTAACACACGTGATTCACATGGTCAAGCCGACAATGCCTACGTGCCCTGACACTAGTAGTCCCCGCTGTGTTGGCCACGTGAAGAATAAAAGAAAACGGGAGGAAACAAAGGAGAAGACAAGCTATCGAATTGCATGGGCAATAAGATGTAAGTTTAAATTTGTTAAAGAAGCGTAGGCCGTAGTAGACGAGTAAAGCTTAACGCATGAAGGGGAAGACTTTAAACTGCAGACCGAGGGCGTCAAGTAGACGCTCGAACTCTTTCACCGTCGGTGCCATCACAAGGTTTGCAGGCAGTGCGTTCCAATAAGCTATGACCCTACGGGATAATCGGAAAGCTGCCCAAAGCCGTTCAGACCGGGGTTTGTGCAACTTTAATGGGTGCCCATAAAGGGTTGGCGCTCGAGTTGGGTGAAACAATCCAGTCGAATCAGGACCAATCTGACCCATCACTATACGATATGTGAAGACCAAGTAGCCCCAAAGCCGCCTGTTATACATGGAAAACATATCCAACTTACGTAGTCGCTCCGGGTACGTCAGCTTCTTTAATCCATGCAAAATTTTCGTCCTGGACCGCAGGACTGGTTCAACTGCCATCTTATAACGAACCAGGCATGGAGGACAAGTATGAACGCAGTATTCCAAGCGCGGCCTTACAAAATCCGAAAACAGTCTAACGAACATTTCGGTATCATGATCCCGAATGATCTGCGGATCATCAACATGTTGGAACCTTTGCGAGCAGCTGTCGTCCAGGGTTCACAGGACCTAAGTCTGATGACAGCAAAACGCCAAAGCCAGATTGGAGTTGAACTAGTGGTACCTCGTTGCCGCCAAGCAAATAATGCGTCGGCGGATCATTCGGACCAACGCGTAAAACTGAATATTTCGCTAAATTAATGGGCAACTGCCATAAAAAGGGACCCGTCCCAAAGTCTATCCAGAGTCCTCTGTAGGGTCAGTTGACCAATCGGATCGTCTATTGTGAACCGGAGTTTCAATTCATCTGCATGCAAGTCCAAGAGGGACGAGTTTCGACCCATCATGAATCTAGTGGTCCGATCGACAAACTGGTGCAGGGGAGCATGCAAGACCAGCTCGAGAAGCTCGGTAGCTAAACACCTTGTAACGGAGTCGCAATAAAAATTTCGTCATCACCAAGCACCTATTTGCTGAATGTTCACGGGTAAATTCAACGACACTACTAGCAACGCTGAAAGGGCTTCTATAGACAAGCACAACTTTAAGTCGCGCGGAGGCAATACACAGGTTAACTGCGTGTGCCACAACAGCACTGTTTGGTGATCGGCAACTATACGTCTTAAAGACAGTAAGTGCGGAGCTGACGTACAAAACAACGCCACCTCCGCGCCGATCAGATGTGCGGTCACACCTCAGCAGTGCGTAGGCTGGCAAGCACACTTCACTCTCCGTGACCTCGGTGAACAACCACGTTTCAGTGAATGCGAGAACATCTAGACGGCAGTCGTCGACAAGGGTGTCGACTTCGCACAGCTTGTTTCGAAGGCTACGCACATTGCTTAAGATCACTTGAATGGATTTACCATCGTGAGTCCGGGATCGTGTGCCACCAGAACCGGCTTTGGCAGGATGGAAGTGGACCGCCGGCTCACCACCCGAAAACCCACCTAGCGGAGACCCATTTCCCCTGCTTCACAACGGGCTTTAATATCTCACACAGGTTCCCGCAATTTCAGCCTATCCGCCAGAGGTCTGAGTGCGCAATGACGCGTAAAGGCGAAACGCAGAAGTGCTTGGCGCTCCTCCGGAGTTAGTTTGCGTACAGTCACGCCGGGGAAGCCAGGCAATAGAAGTTTGGTAATGCATATTCTAAACCACTGAAGGTGATCTGGCATACGGTCATTTGAGAGAACAGCAGACGAATTTCTAAACATTAACCAGGAAGAGCGTCCCTGATCGGTGAATAAGCGGGCGCAGTAATCTCGACTGAAGGTCGACTGAAGATAGCAGCAACTTGTCACACAGTTGCAGTGATGTAGAGAGAAGAAGGAAAAAGACCCGTGTCAACTCCTTCAACTCCCATTCACTGGCTGGATGCTACGTGTTCTTGCAAACCTGTATTCACCAAGGGATCAGCACAGCTGTAGCAAACAGTGGCATTCAGAAGTCCTCAGCATGCATTTATCCAACCGCCGCTTGAAACATTCCTCTGTTTGGGTACTGACAACATAGTCCGGGAGGTTGTTCCATTGATTCACGACCTCCGTGGATAACGTGAAGTCGGAGCGGACGTGGAGCGTCCGCGGTTTAAACAGTTTCCAACTGTGACCCCGTATCGAGTTATGTACATTGAGTTGAAAGAACTCCTGCACCTCCGTCCCCAAGTCTCCTTTCAGGATGCGTCTTGTATATATCAGATCCTCACGGCAGCAACGATAGTTCAAAGTGAACAAGTTCATCCGCTGAAGTTGAATGGGATATGACAAATCCCGCATCTGATAGAGACTTAGAGTCACGCCTCTGAACCTTCTCGATTAAAGCGCACACATGTAGGACCATCATGCATTTTGCCCAATACAAGTTACCAGCAGGATACCATCCGATCAGTCGACAGTTCCACCAGCCATATCGACCTATATTCAAAACCTCCACCCAACACACCATTGAGCATAGAACTTTGAAGCTGACTAGCTAAAGAAACCTTACCATCGTTACTCTTCTTTTCATGTTCTTCCGTAATTATTCGTGATAGTATTAAACTACAACAGTGGGAATGCGTCCTTTTACCTCTTTATGGCATCCAAAGACGACAGGACATTAACTCCGAACTCAGCACATAACCAGCACTCCTACAACTTGGTGAACCCGACGTGAGCTCGGTGGTTTGGACATCCCAATTCATAAACGGTTGTTCACCGGAATCCAATCAACCAACGATGACTCAGCCTCGGAACTGAGAATGATACCTACACCAGCTTGACCCGTGAGTGCCGTATCGGCGTCTCCGGATGCGTGCAACCAATAACGAGAGGATAAGCCGGGTGCAGTCAATTCAATAACCCCGTTAGGGTCCTTAATCCTAGTTTCGGACACACAACACACATCAACACCCAGTGTGTCCAAGGTGCGTGCGAGTGCAGCCTGCTGACCTGTTTCTCTTAGAGTGCGGACGTTGAATGTCGCCATGGAAACGGGACAGCGTGGCCTTATAAGTGACTTTCGCCGGTAGGCGTCCGATGGGTGCTGTGGGATGGTGGCTGCAGATGGTTCTACTCCAGTAGCACTTCGGTTGCTGTCAGTTAAGCTGGGAATTGTTAGAGGAAGGTTAGTAATGGGGGCCGGGATAGGAGTAAGAGAAAAAGGTGGAAAAGAAAGGAGGGAGGCGTCAGCAGTAGCATGTTTTCGCTTATCCGCACTGCTGTATGCAGCAGATAAGGTGACCCTTGATAATCTGCGCGACGGCCGATGCAGGATGAAGTTTATGTTTGAAGAAAATGTCAACAATCTCAGCTTTATCGCCTCGTGCATCTGACGACTCACTAGTGAAAGCCGTACGCTCCTTGCAAAAATAACTGTCCTCAATCACCATTGCCAAACTGCATTGCAACTCCTGATGAAAGCAACGGCGTACTCGGAGTGCTAGTCGTTCCTGTGGCATATGGTGGTACTACTGGAGATTCTGTAACAGAGCTCGGAAATGCACAACGCCGTGTCGATTTTCCAATATGGGAAAGGAACACGCCAGCTCGTATTGGCGAGGACGCAAGCTGGCATATGCGAGCCACATCGCATGCGATTCCTCGTAGACACTGGTGCCCAAGTTAGTGTGGTTCCTCCAGGTCCGGAGGACCTGAAGCACTGCTCGGTATACAGCCTGCAGGCAGTAAACGGCACGCCCATCCGAACCTATGGAGAACGTTCTATCACACTGCAGGACTTTTCCTTGGATTTTCATTGTAGCCAAAGTGCCTACTGCAATTTTAGGCCTCGATTTTTTCCAGCACCATGGTAGTATCGTAGATCCCAAACGCTGCCAGATTATCGATGGCCTGACGAAACTATCACAGGCTAGTTTCAAAAGCTCCATTATGTCTGAGTCTGCAGCTTCTCTCACCACAGGCCACTCCAATGTACTTGGATCTGTTACCAGCATTTAACAGCATAACAAAGCCTGGACAGCAATATGTGATGTTAAACCTGAGATCGTTCATAGAATAACGACAACAGGTAGTCCGGTTTTCCATCGACCACGGCGATTAGCGCCTGATAAACTTGCCGCAGCGGAGGCTGCATTTGACCGTATGTTACAGTTGGACATAATACGTCCATTCAGCAGTATGTGGGCATTGCCCCTACATATAGTCCCGAAAAACAAATCTGGAGATTAGAGACCTTGTGGGGATTACCGGGGACCGAACGCCATCACCGTCCCAGACAGGTATCACATTCAGCATCTCCAGAATTTCTCATCCTCACTGTACGGAAAGCAAGTGTTCAGCAAGATAGATCTAGTGCGGGCATATCAACAAATTCCCGTGCATCCTCTAGATATTCCTAAGACTGCCGTCACCATTC